CCTCCCGCCCACCGTGGGCAGTGCCCGGCGATGCCTCTGGGGCCGTAAGCGGCTTAGGGCAGCACAGGAAGCTGCTTAGAATTAGGGTGTTAATCGCCTTGACCCCAGCCCCCCCACCTGCATACGGCCCTACTGCTGGCCCCAGCCCCATGGAGTCACCCCCTGCCCCACAGAGTCACCCCCCAGCCCTGTGGGGTGTGTAGGGACCCCCAAGGAACCATCTCCCCCTGCCTGGCACCACCAGCAGGTTTTGGGGTGCTGGTGGCAGAAATTCCCCAGATTCTCGCTGACCCCGTGAGATGTGGCACATCCTGGTGGGACCCGGGGGCTTGGTCCTTTCCCCATCCCCTCACTGTCCCCTTCGTGCCTGCTGTCCCCAAAAGCCGATGCCACATCCAGCCCTTCCCAGGGATAACATCCTGGTGGCAGGACAACATCTCCAGGCTGATGGTGACTTGTCCGAGGGGTACCAGAGCCAGGGCAGGAGGACCCCAGGGAGTCACAGGTTCCTGGTCCCCTTCCCCATCCCCACATCCCCTCAGCCTCAATGGAGTGGGAGCACAGGGACATCTCCAGGGGACATCCCCTCCAGCCTTACCAAGCAGCAGCAGCTTGACTGTCTTGGCCTCCTTATCTGCATCCTCCTGGAGCTTCTTCTCCAGCTCCTTGGACCTCTTGGCCATCTCCTTGTCCTCGGCACTGGCCCCGCTCCCCATGGCTTCGTCCTCCTCCTCCTCCAATAACTCCACAAGCTCCTCTAGGTCCCCAGGCTTTTCCAGCTCTTCAAGGAGATAACACGCACACCTCGGGAACGAGGTGGGCACTGGGAGATGAACGAGAAATTCAAAAAAAGGAGAGCCAGGTACCCCACACCCAATGTTGGGGTGCCTCAAGCCGGCAGCACTCTTCGGTGGGTCCTCGCTGCTGGCTGCCCCCCGCTCTCTCCCTTAATTCCCCATGGATAACCTGATTTTTTTTGACCGTGGGATTTGGGGACTTTTTATCTTGCCATGTGACCCAGGAAATCCAATTAGCCCAAGATGGCAAAGATTAGGGCTCAGGGAGAAAAAAAAGGATGGAGCATCTCAGGGAGGTGGGCAAGGGGCTTTACATAAGGGGGGCATCAGCGTGACACCCCCTGTCCTTGGGGACCGGTCCCCTGGGGTGACTTGGGAAGTGGGGATCATTTTGGGGGTCCCTCCTGTCCGTGGGCTGTGACCCCATTTTTGGGGGGCATTGAGGATGGGATCATCCCCATGTTGTGTGTGTCCCCCACCCCTGGGTGCTCCAGAGCGGTGGCAGGGGACTGGGCGGTGACAGGGGGCCAGGGTGGTGGCAGGGGGGTGATGGCACCGGGGGATTCCTCCTGCAGGGAAAAGGGAGCTAATTACCCCGGGGTGGGTAACGAGGGCCCCTAATCCTGCCCCGCTGGGTGCCGCCCTCCCGCTGCCTAAGCTCTTTAATGGGATCGCGGCTCAGCCTTCCTCCTCCTCCTCCTCCTCTTCCCGGGCTCAGCACCCCCCTCCCAGGCCAGCCCATCCCCCAAACCCTGGGGACAGGTGGGTGCCTCCCCCTTTTCCTGCGGGGCTGGCTGTGGGTGGGCACCGCAGGGGGAGTCCCCGCCCCGGCGTGGGCTTTGGGACCCCCACAAGCCCTGCACGTCCCCGATGTTTGGCTTTAAGGTGTCCTAAATCCCCGATGTTTGGGTTTCAGGTGTCCTAAATCCCTGCACTTCACAGGGTCACTGGGGGCTCCATGTCCCCGCACCGGTGTCCCCACGTCCCACCGGGCGCATGTTCGCTGCCAGCGCCGTTGCTTGGGGACACTCTGTTCCTGCTGTCCCCGCGGACACAGAGCCCTTTCTGAGCCTCTAATGAACTCGGCGCTAATGAGGGGGGTCCAATTAAAATACCAGACACCACCCCCCCTCCCCGCGGTGTGCGGACAGTGCTGGGCAGGGGACATGAGTCAGGCTGGGGGTCCCCACTGTCCCCCGTGGCTGTTGTGGCACAGCGCTGTCCCCGGTGGGTGGTGTCACCTCGCTGTCCCTTCACCCCCTCGACAAGGGGTGGGGGGCACAGAGGGGGGTGGGTGACATTCCCTCCGCTCTAACAGCGGCTAAAAATACCCCCCCGCGCCGGTGGCAGCTTAGGGGACACTGGGGGCGCTCGGAGGGGACACAGCCCGACAGCCACCCAGAGCCACCCGGGCACCGGCAGCCCCGGCCCAGGTAGGGACACACGGAGCGACACCCCCGGCACAGTGACACCCCCGGCACAGGTGACACCCCCGCGGCCGGGCTCTGCCTCTGGGGTGGCCCCACTTTGGGTGGGGGGTGCATTAGGGGGCAGGGCCTCCTTGGGGACATTCCTGGGGGGCTCAGGGCACCCCCAGCAGGGTGTGAGGTGGGGAGTGCTGCAGGAGTGTGAGTCCTTTTGGGGTGCGGTGCCATATCTGGGGAGGGTGGATCATCATTGCCCCATTTTGGGGGGCACTGGCTGATTTCGGAGGTGCCTTTGGGGGTACAGTGTTTAACGGGGGGGTGAGGGTCTGTTTAGGGGGTGCAGCGCCAGCCCTGGGGAGGGGGATCATCATTGCCCCATTTCGGAGGTACCCCGTGCCTTTGGGGGTACAGTGTTTAACGGAGGGGGGGTGACAGTCTGTTTTGGGGGTGCAGTGCCAGCCCTGGGGAGGGGGTGCCCATCCCGGGGGTGACGGTGCCCGCTGGGGGGGCACAGGGATTCCCAGTGGGATTGGGCCGAGCTCTGGATGGGGAAGAACACCACCCTGTGTTTTTGGGGAGCAATGCTTGTTC